ATAAATTTCTAATAATATTAATAAAAAATTTAAAAAAACTGGCTTGAACAAGTCAAGCCCTGCTCGCCGGAGCAAGAGTTAAGAAAAAAAAATAGGCGAACAGTTCGAGCTCGGCTTGTTTACCCCTCCGCTACAGGTGAGAGATATTTTTAACCCGGAATTAACTTTCTTTTTAAAGAACCTTTTTCATTGTTTCTGAAAAAACAGGTATTGGGTTTTACATTAAATATAAAATTTTCGAATAAGGAGATATATAAAAAAATACCCCCCATTGCTTGGTGTAGGAGTAAAAGGATCCGCTAAAGTTGGGGGTATCCTCCTCCTAGAAAAAAAAAAAAATAAAAATATATATATATATGTGTCTCTCTATATATATATATATATATATATATATATATATATATATATATATATATATATATATATATATATATATATATATATATATATATATCTAAATTCTTCGATTCGAAAAAAAAAAAAAAAGAGAAAAAAAAAAGAAGAAGAAGAATAGATTAGAAGAGAGAAATAGGGACTAGTTGTGAATTGGGTTGAAAACTCGATCCATTGCCTAAAAGGCAAAAGTGTTGACGTGTGAATTTTGGAGAATCGAGTTTATTTAAGTCCATAGAGGTGAATTCATTGTTTCAAACGCCTATCTTTCAAATTTTGGCGTAATCACCTCAATTCAAGAAAATTAGCCACACATTCCCATATTACCTACCTCGGACCAAAGAGCCTAACAATTGAAAGCCACAAAGTCCCAATGATCCCAATAGCTTATTGTTCAATATTAGTTGAGTAAAATAATTTGGTGAGTATTTGGAGTCAAATATATGCATGTAAGTATAAATTCTCTCTATTTTTAACTTGCAAATATTGGATACTTGAAGCAATTGTATGATTTGTGGTTTTTGGTAATAGTGAGTGACTAAGTGCCGTTGAATGTTAAGCTTGCGAATACCTAGGAATTATCATCATAATTGCAAGTTCTGAAAACACGAAGTTGACCAATCGATCTATGTAATGAGATGTATAGTCGTGGTTTGTGCTCTTAAATTGATTTTACTTGAGGACAAGCAAAAGTTCAGAGGGTGTTTGACTAAGACAATAAGTTGTTCCAAAAAAATTATGAGATGTTTAAGAGTTTGTCCGCTCTTCAAAAGTTTTACGTAATTGTGACAAAAATATCTGTAAAATTATACTGTCAATGACATCAGTATTATTTCTTTTTTGACTTTTTTAATTTTTTTGATTTGTTGGCCGTCAACGTAATAATATTACTGTCGCTAACAGTAAAATTACTGTAAAACACAATAATATTAGTGTCAAAATATAATATTTTTGGTCTTTTTAATTTTATTTATTTGTTGACCGGTCAGTAATGTAATATTACTGTCGTCGATAGTAAAATTACTGTAAGAACAATACTATTATTGTCAACCACATCAATATTAATCTTTTTTTGTTTTTATTATGTTTGTCTTTGTTAATCGGTTAACATTTTAATATTATTGTATTACAAAATAATAGTAATTTATGGGGTAAAATTCATTTTGCACCCCTGTACTATGTAAAAGGTATCATTTACCCCCCTAATGTATAGAAAACATCAAACACCCCCCTATTTTTAACGGTCAACGGTCAAATTTTTAACGGTGTTAAATTTTGAGTGTGCAATGACTCTTTTACTCTGTTTTTATGTTTGATATAATTCCTAATTTTTTCTAGGCATATTTTTTGCGGATTGTTGACGGTTTCTAGTGTTCATTCAAATTAGGGCTTTTTGTCGATTTTAGAATTTGATTTTATTTTTGGTTTTCTTTTTCGAGGATTTTTCCATTATAATATGAAAATCTTTGTTTTTAATTTGCAATTCTTTCATATGGTTTTATTCCAATTTTAGGGTTTGTTTTAAATTTCAGGGCTTTTAGTTTTCCTTTTTGTGGGTTTACATTCATAATCTGCAAAGCTTCATTCTTATTTATTCGACTATTCAGCTTTTTTATAAGAAAAATGGCTGAAAATGTTAAGTAAATGATTGAATAAAGTGAAAAAAATGGCTGAAAAAGGTGAAAAATCCGGTGAACATTTGTCAAAACGAAGCATCCTATATATATAATTTTTTTGGGTATTTTCATTAATAAAATAAAAAAAAGCCAACATTTCTTTGCAATAGTCGGTCAAAGGGTTTGACTAACGGAATTAGAAAAAAAACTAACGGCAGGGGGGTGTTTGATGTTTTCTTACTTCAGGGGGTAAATGATACATTTCGCATAGT